GATGCGACGTTGAATGTTTTTCGAGACCAAAAACTTGATTTGGAACAATCATCGACTAGTACTATAAGACACATATGACCCTTTGAGGATTCAACATGAACAAGAGCCTAGAGATCACAATGAACCAAGTCAGGAGCACTGTCAAAATAGGAGAAGTTGATTTAGGAGTTAAGCTAAGATAATTGTTCTTAAACGTGAACAAATCTCCTAAAATAACCATAAGATTATGACAACTAATTGACTTGTTCAAATAGCTATGCACGCTTCACTTGACATCTGCATTTTATCGTTTGGTTTGGAAGAAAAATCTGTTAATCATGGCTGCTTCAATGGAACCCACCATTTTTATCTCCTCTTTCTTCCCAGAATCCCTCTCCTTTTCACTACCAGAATCCAGCTCCTTCCTCGATTCAACCCTCCGCCATTCATCAGTTCCACAGCTCTTTCGTCTCTTTTCTGCTTCCCAGCTTCTTTCTCCATCTTCCTCAGACATACTCCTGCTCGGTCTTCCTTCTGTTTTCCCACGGACGCTCCTCATATCAAGCCGCTACGCACCCAACAACCCCCCCTCTCGTTTCTTCCAATCCTGAGAAGCTCGGCAGCTTTAACGAAACCCGAAACACGCACCATTTTCTGCACGTCGACGATCGGGCGTCGGAGGAGAAACCAAACGTTCTAGTTTTTCCCGTAAATCATGGCCTGGCTTTGGGTTAATTACGCCAAGATTTGGGCCTTCAGATGCGTCATCGTCAAACCCACAAGAAGCCGCGATATAATCCCTCCATTAATTAATTAATTATTATTACCCTAATTAATTATAAATAATATTAATAATTTAATATCCAAAAAAATGACGTCATTATTGAACAGTTCATTTTGTAACAATGGATCCAGACAGGAATTTACACGTTTTATTTTATTAATAATTAATACTTGTGATCACGACTGCTTACCCGCCCTTAATATTTTAATTAAATTTAATAAAATATTATTTCGTAATTTTCGATTTTTCTTTCTCCAATTTTTAAAATATTTAATTTTTTAATAAATTAATTAAAATAAAATTCTCAAATTATTATATTCAGAAAATGCGATTGGATACCGCTAAGTCGCATTTTTTCAATAATTTAATTTATAATTTTTAGTCGGTAGAACCAGAAATTTTAAATTATAATTGATAGTCAAAAATATTAAAATTATGTATTTATTAATTAAATTAATTTTAATATAAGTTTGTCAATAAGTTCCATTATGTCACCTTTTATGGAATAGATCAAGAGTCAAAGCATACACTTATATATATACATATATATAAGAATATAAACTTATAAATTAATTAAAAAATAGCTGAGTAGAGTAAAATAAGTTCACGTGAAATGGGTTTTTTTTTTTTCTTTAAATAATAGAAGATGATATAATGTCAAAATTATATATACCTTAAAAAAATTAAATAAGTGAAAGGAACTTGTTTTAAAATAAAATAATAAAATAAATATTCTCTGAAAAAAATAAATTATTTTTTATTATTTCAATATCTATAACCATTTATATTAATTAAAATTACAATATTTTTAATACCCACAATTTAATTTTTTAATTAAAAATACTTTTATTTAAATTTATAATTTTTTTTTATTGATACATAAAACATAGTATTTAAATTTTTAACACAAAAATAAAATAATTATTAAATTAAATATTATAAAACGGAACGCTAACACGTAATATATTATAAAATAATAAAATTTATATTAATTATATATTATGTTTGAAGTAAATATTGCTGTATTATTTGAAGTGGGTCCACCGTCTGCTTAGTTTCACAATTCTACAGTTTATGAGGGAAAAGTGACCGGTTACCGGTGGCGGAGGTGCTATATATGGAAGCTTCTCAGATGGCCGTTCAGGTTTTTTCCGAGAGTGGAAAGCTAGGGCCCCCTGCTCGCTTCTCTTTATCTCTTTTGTTCCTATCCAGTTCAACAGTGATACTGATACAGACATGGAAGCCAACGAATTTGAATAGCATCTTGTTTTCTTGTGATCCAAAATTTTCTTTCGTGCTTGGTTGTTTGGTTGCCGACAAAACTGAAGCGAAATAAGAGGAGGAACGGAGAGCCAAACGAGTTTTTGATTTGAAGAAGCTTAAGCTAGTGTTAGGTTATCTCAAATTCGAAAGACTTTCTTCGTTTTTTCTTTTTCATTAAATGGATTCCTTCACTTTCTTAGCGGCCAAACAGGCTTCTCGTATGTAGGATAGAATAAATTTCTGATTGATGTTCATTTTCGCTGCTTGTGAGCAGGAAAAGCGACTTGCAAATCCTGCCTGAAGTGTGCTTGACTTCCTAGTTGCTGCGGCCGTGACGAGGAATCCATACTTTTGAGTCGCAAGTTGTGCCTGACTTCCCGGATTCCTGCGACCGTGACAAGAAATCCACATTTCGGTGCAATCGCGGACGACGCTTGGCTTAGTTTTGTTTCAGTCACTGGATTAGCTTGAATCTCTTTTTTTTTTCCTTTTTTGGTCTGGTAAACTGTAGTTTGACGACAGTTCGTTCTCATGAACTTCATGTGCCCGAAAGCCCTTAAAATAGAGTTCTCTTCTGCAATCTGTCTTCTTTAGTTTTGCTTTTAGTATCACGAATTATATTAGTTTGTGATACTTTGATTACTGAGAATAGGTTCGTCGGAGATGGGATTTTTGTTTCTCTGTTCAACGGGGCCACCGCTAAAAAGAAGAGCTGGTTTGAGGATAAAACAAGCAGGGAGAGGATCTTATCGGGGTAGTTAGTGAGCCTTTTGTGGATTCTAGGTGAGTTTCTTTATTAGTAGTAAAGCTCTTATTATTCTTAAAAGTCAACGGGATGGGAACTACTGCTGTGAGGCAATTGTTGAGGAGTCTTTGCAGCAATTCACAATGGAAGTATGCCGTTCTTTGGAAGTTAAGATACGAAAACCGAATGTAAGTTATTTCAAAAGCTTAGTCCTTTTCTGTGCATTTGACATCTGCAGAAGACGAGATTATACAAAGTATTTTACTCAGTTCGGATTATGCACTTTGATGAATAATTGAATGTCTCAATTTTCTGGCAAAACCGCTTTGAGAGGGAACTGTTTGCATAGGAACGCTTCGGAATTATGTACATTACCTTGCATGCTTTCTGTCATGGCTTGCCATGATGTCTTTTATAACAACAGATTTCTAGCTCTGATATATAGTTCCTGATTGTAATTTTGGGATTTTCTTGGGGTTTGTTAAAATCAGATAGGGAATAAGTTTTCTAGCTTCTGCTTTCAATGACAATATAGGGAAGTACCGTTGCTGATTTTTAAATTCCATAACCAGTTCTCTTGACAAACTGTTATTGTCGGTCAACATTTTGAGTTTCCTGTATTTTGTTTTTAAATTCTTCGTATGTTAATGAGGGAAGTTTCATATTTCTGCATATTATGGTACAATCTTGACCTCAGATAGTAAGTTGATTAATGTTTTGCATTTCTATGAAATTGACATCTTTTATGTTCCAGGATTTTGAGCTGGGAGGATGGATATTACGACCACCCAGAACCAAGGGTTACATTAGAAACTCTGTCAGATGATTCTTGGTGTAGGGGTTCCGGTGATATGATTCCTTTGTACCCTGAGACGAGCATAAAAACTGGTGGTTCTGGAGAATCTCCAATTGGACAGATGGTGGCTAATATGTCAAATCTTCAGTATACTTTGGGAGAGGGGTAAGTTCTTGTGGCTTCACCCTCTGATTAGTAATATTTTACTCCCCTCTTTGGTCTGATGACATTGTGCCCACTGAACTGGAAGAAGTTGTGTATGTTTTATAACTCATCCTAGAGAGAGTATATGAGATTCAAGCCTCATATATATTGATGCAAGTTACTTTGACCTTCTCGGCAATGCTATCATAATTCTAATTGTACCATTTCTATTCCACCCGACGTATTATTTTGGGTTTTGCTTCCCTTCTCTCTCCCTCCCTGAGTCTTGATCTTATTGGAGTGAAATTCCTTGCACCCTTTTTGTTATTGATCTAAATGGTACATAGAATAATTACTCACTTGGAAAGATGGAAAGATAATTGAAACTGACAGGTTTTCTTAATTTATCAGAATTGTTGGTGAAGTGGCTTATACAGGGAACCATTGCTGGGTTTTATACGATGATATTTTCACCAGCGAAGCTAACTCCAAGTTAGTTAATGAGGTGAGTTCACAGTCAAAATAGTTGGTGTAGAATGTGATCATAATTATGCGAATGCTAAAAAATATTACAAATGTTTCTCAATTGGCAGTATCCAAATGAATGGCTACTTCAGTTTGCATCAGATATCAAGGTAATGCTTTTACTGTACATCCCAACTTGGCTTCTGTTCATTAATGGCTACTTGCTGTGGAGGGTTTATTTATTTTTGCATGTATTAGGAAGACTTGGAAGCTTAGATGCTCAAATTTCACATACTTGCCTTTTGGATACGGGTAATATTTTAATATGTGATATTGCACATGCGCAGACTATTTTGCTGGTACCTGTACTTCCACATGGTGTTCTGCAACTTGGCTCATTGGAAGCAGTAAGTATTTTTCCTGTGTTTAATGCATTTCTTTCATTCTTCTCTCAAGTAACGAGGGTAAAGAGCAAATTGAATGCCTGCATGTTGATGTTGCTGGAAGTTCTTGCATTTTGGATATTACAAACTCTACACTAATATAATATAAATGATATGGTGGACCGTTTCAAAACTTGTGGATTCTTGGAATTATAGACCATAAATTTTTTTTTATTTTTATGTCAACAGGTTGCTGAAGATATAGCAGTGGTTGCTTATATCAAGGATAGATTTGCTGTTCATAGTGCTCCTGCAGTTGACAGTGTCAAGGTAGATAAATACACACTGTCGGCTTTCGACCAACCTGTGTCACCATTATGTATTCAAGATGCACTTGAGATATATAGACAAGATCAACTAAATATAGGTGG